TCCAAAAATCCTTTGGTATAGAGGAATTTCAGGAGTAGCCTAAAACTCCATCTTCTCACTGCTAAGCCCCGCCTTCTTCGTCAACACTGGAAGTTTTTAAGAAGATGTTGGATAACCATTTGTCTGAAGTGGTGTAAGGTCTCTTGCCTAAGCAAGAGGTTGGACTAGAAGACCTCCAAGGTCCCTTCCAACTCTGTTATTCTATTCTTCAAACCAAGCATTTTCAGATTTTTGGAACTAGCTTCTGGAAAATGTCCTGTTGGGCAACAAGAGCTCCTGTAGATTCAGAGATGTGTCTTGAGATGTCCATCTGGGCTTATTTGATGTTCTCTTCCATTACCTGATACTTTCAGAATAATCTGTTGGCCTGTTGGCACCCAAGGTGCAAATTTTCCCTCTATAACGGGATATCCAAACTTGCCAACTTTAAGATCTCTGGCCGTTTGGGGAATTTGGGGAGTTGAAGCCCACAAGTCCTAAAGCTGCCAAGAACAGACACCTCTGCTCTATACCTTAATCCCCCCTTTCATGTTTGGAAATAAATTTTGAAGACTGTGCAATCCATTAAACAAGACATTTTTTATAAACACCCCTTTGAGATTCATGTTCTTACAAAGCCCACAAAGAGGAAACAAATATGAAAGTGCAAGATGTTTTATTTTATTATTGTTCTCACAGCAGAATAAAAATATACCATATAATGCAACCAGTTCTATGGCAAGCACACTTCCAGAATATTAGTATTCTTACAATTCAAGCAAAAAGAAGAAGTAAGCTCCATTTCATATACCAAGTCTTCCTTGGAGCATTTGAGGCATCTCAGTCCAGAAGGTGTCCAAGAAGACGGGGAGAACATTAGTCGCAGAAGGCAGAGGAAATGTTACGGTGGATAGAAACTCCACCAGTTTTTAGAATTCAATTGCAGCATTGGAGTCACCATCTTGATTTTTTTCTGAACATATAACATACTTTTCAGAGTATAAGACACACTTTCCCCCTCCTAAACGAGGAGGCTCCTAGGGAAGTGATGCCTAACCTTTTTGTTGTTGGGTGCCAAAAATGTGAGAGCATGCGCACAAATGTGTGTGTGCTGGCACCCTTAATGCAAAGCGCCCCCCCCCCGCATGCATACACAATCCCCTACCACTCCCCACCGTGTGTTGCAATACTCACCTCCAAACTCAGCTTAGTATTTCCTCCAGGGGGATGTCAGGGGAGGCTGTTTTTGTCCTCCCAGGCTTCAGGAAAGCCTCCGGAGCTTGGGGAGGGTAGAAATGGCCTTCCCTGGCCCCCTGGAAGCCAGAGACGAATAGTTGAACTTCCGTTAGACCCGTTGAGCCCATTTTTCACACTCCCCAGGCTCCAGAAGACCGAAAATCAGCTGGCTGGTGCACGTATGTGCGCTGGAGCTGACGGCTCGCATGCCAGCAGATTTGGCCCTGCATACCACCTGTGGCACATGTGCCATAGGTTCACCATCACGGTCCTAGGGGCTGGGGAGGGCAAAACATGATGCGTGAGGGGTTTGGGAGACAGAAAATGGGCCTGTTTTTCACAAAAAACCGGGGCGTTTTTGCTCTCCCCAGCCCTCAGGAGCACTCTGCAAGGCTCCCAAACCCTCTGCATGGGCTGGTTTTGCGAAAAACGGGTGAAAAACAAGCCTGTTTTTGGCCTCCCCAAGCCCCCAGGAGTGCTGTTTTTGCTCTCCCCAGCCCTCAGGAGCACTCTGCAAGGCTCCCAAACCCTCTGCATGGGCTGGTTTTGCGAAAAACGGGTGAAAAACAAGCCTGTTTTTGGCCTCCCCAAGCCCCCAGGAGTGCTGTTTTTGCTCTCCCCAGCCCCCAGGAGCAGTCTGCAGGCCTCCCAAACTCTCTGCGTACGCCAGTTTTGAGAAAAACAGGACACGCAGACCAGTGGTGCGTTTCCATTATTTTTAATACTGGTTTGCTCAGGTGCACGCTCATGCAAGCATTGACGGGTGTGCATGACGTTTGCATGCTCAGAAGCATCTGGGTGGGTGGGCAGAACTTTCCACCACCGCTACTACCGGTTCACCCAATCCGGGCGAAACCGGGAGCAACCCACCTCTGACGTAGAGGGTTTGGGAGGCTTGCAGACTGATCCTGGGGGCCAGGGAGGGCAAAAACTATTTTTTTCTCATTTACCTCTTCGAAATCTTGGTGCGTCTTATACTCCGGTGCATCTTATAGTCCGAAAAAT